CCTCCTCTAAATTTCGACTGAAGCAATGTTTGACTGGACATTTCTATCATCCAGAGAGGTGGTGGCAGCACTGTGGACTCCTCACCCAACGTGGAGGATGGGTAGAGCAGAGACAGCAAATGTTGCTAACCAGGAAGTGAGGAGTTCATGCTGAACATTCTTTCTGTTCCTTGTACCATTTTGAAGAAGTCACTTCTGAAATGTTTTTTCCTCAAACCTTACACAGGTGAAAACTGATACTGACTGCAGTGTACGTCTAGCTTTAGCCCTTTCCTGTTTTGAAAGCCTAGCTTCTACTTCCAAAGTCCTTTCTTCTTCACAATGCGTCTGGAGAAACCTGCACGCTCGCAAAGTATTTAAGGGTTGACAACAGCAGTATTTCAGAGTTTGAAGGGTCAACATCATTCAAACTAGCTTAATCTCATGGGTCTGTGAAGTTGGGTTAGAAATGCCGTCTGAACAAGTACTCCATCCACCTTGCCTTAGTCCTGGCTGAAATCCAGAGACAAGGAGAAAAGCAGATGTGGGGGGAAAAAGAAACAGTTAATTAAAGGCCAAGTCCAAGTTCTGAACATCTCTATCTCCTTCAGGTCATTACAGCCACGTCTAGGGAACACATTCAATTTCATTGAAAGTTCCTCCTCCTTTGCTGTCAGCATCTAAGCTTAGTTGGCCTTAGGCCCCTCAGAGCCTCAGGAGCTTTCCCTTCACTTCATCAATGAGCAGTTTTCTAGGCACAGGTTAAAGAGCAGGCTGCTGCTTGCATAAGGAGAGTTACTGTGGAAATATCAATATGCCAGACCATGTGGAGGAACTGCAATTGGCTCAGCAACCACATCTCCTGACAGTTCCCCACCAATTCGTCACACAGTCCCTGCCATCTTAGTTACTTCTAACACAGGTTGGAGTCCCTCTCCTTGAAGACCCTCAGTAAGGTACACATCTATCCCGAACAGGACAGCAGTATCTCAGTGGGACACCAACAAACTGCATCTGAAATAAAGCTTAGGAAACTCAAATCTGAAATGCTCCGTGTGTCCCACTTTACAGAAAGAGGCAAGGCTGAACTAGCAATATTGAGAGAACCAGCATCCACAGGGATCAGCATGGCTGACGCTCGCCTTCATGTAGATACCGTAAAACAGATGGATTCACTGGGGCAGACTAGGAGTCCTCTGCTTAGCAAGGAAGAAGCACATGGATATGCTGCCATGAGGGAATGTCTCATGACAGCTTCAGAGCAGATGCAGTGAAGGCAGGAACAGGGGTTGGAAGGGACATCACACAGGTGTGAAGGAGTTAGAAACGTGGGAAAAGGAGGGCTGGGGTCATGGCTGAAGGAGGACAAAAGCAGTCTATGTTTTCTTCCCTGGACCCTGGAGTTCTGGCAGCAGAGGCATTCTCTGAATTCACTAGTCCATAATTTTGTTGTCCATATTTGGAAATATATGGTCCCCATGATCCAATTTAATTTCACATATTCACGTTATTGAACAAATTATATGCCTCCTCAGGGTGCACTGAAACACACCCCACACATTCTTGTTGTAAATACATGACTATAACAAGTGAGGTGTCTCCTAAAGCCTGGAAAGTTGGTGTTTCTATCATGACTTATGTATTTAGACTGACTGCTAAGTTGTGTGTGATTCTACTAATCTTCTGTGGAGGGAATTGGCTTATTTTCCCTCAGAGCAAACACAACATTTGCCAGTTGTTATACGTCAATTCTGGAATTCACAACATATAACAGATTTTGTATAAATCTATCTGCAGGAAGCAGAGCTAAAAATTTGTCACTGGATCAACCTGTCAATATGGAAATGTCTAAAGAGACACTAAATGCACTGTAATTGTTCCTGAAACTCCTCAGATGTCCTCAAGCACAATACAAACCTTTCAGGGAGTGATTCAGCTGCTCACAAACAGTTACCCAGTGTCACTCCATACATCCAAGTAGGATTTGCAAAACGTTCAGGTAGGATTGATAGAGAGGACACAAAGATGGTCCCCTTCTTTTCCATAGCAGCAGCTGGAGACCAGACAGGACATGTCAAAGAGCACTAGATGGCTTCATTTAGCAGATAACTGAGCTGTCGGTGTCTGCAGTAACTGGATAGACAGGAATTCTCTATCTGTTGGCTTTAATCATCAGGCGGCCCAAACCACAGCAGCTGTTTTAGAAGGATGTAGAGATGATCTAAATCTCCAACAACGTGCAGTTTGATCACAAAAAAGAGCTTTTAAGGACAGTGCCTAGCAGGCTTCAGCCTTTTGTGGCTCACAAAGCTCTGAGAGCAATGCCAGCATCTTTCTGAAGTGCCTCATGGCACAGACATTGTACCTTGCAAAGGGAAAAAACTTGCAGCTCCTGGGCTGCTGCTTTTTTGCAGAGGTCTTTCCAGTACTTAACTTTAATCACTTAAACAGTATAAAGTGTAAGTCTAGCATCAACCACTTAACAGTAGCTTGTCTTGTCCCTTTACTGCCCTCTCATCTGAATGCTGTTTAAAGGCAGTGTCTATAACATCAATATTTAACCACAAGGCTTGCTCATTCTCACAAGGATGGGGATTGCTCTACACGTGGGCTAAATCACAGTGCCTAGACAGCTGACAATAATGAAAGCATCTTTCAAGATAAGGCACTTGATTGCTACTCTAAAGCTTACTGGTGAAAGGAATGTGTAATCTATTTTTTTTTCATTGCATTTGAAATTAACTTGTTTAAATATTAGTCATCTGGATTTATATAGCTCATTTTTAGAACTGGGTTAGCATCTGGCAATCCAGCCTAAGCAAGCATCAGGCTATCCCAGTCGCAGGCCCATTTGATTCCTCTTTCCTCTTTTTGCAATGTGTGACATTTATTTTTTCCTGGTATGATTTCCTTCCCACTTCACAGGAGACAAATCCATGTACTCAGAGCAGCTGCCTAACACAGACTGGGGAGGGCAAGCAGCGGTGCCCTCCCCCTGGCAGAGGAGAGCAGCAGCACTGGTCTCTGTGCTGACACTGCTCTGCCACATCTTGCGTGGGCAAGAGTAGCTCCCTTAGGGCAATGAGGTACCCCAGGTCCAACAAAACAGAGTGGCAAAGTACTTTATTTTCTGACTGTGAGAAAATGATCAAGGGAATTTGCAATATTACCGTCCATGACATTTTCCTGAACATTGAAAGAGATTTTTCCTGCTATAAAAACCCTTCATGTCTGCTTTCCAAGCTGTCTTTGTACTTCCTTTCCCAAGTGTTTCACTGTTGGTTTTTTCCTGCCTTCGCCTTAAATTTCTGCAGTGTGGCACAAATACGAAGCATGCTCCTGGCAGAAAACACACTGCAAAATTCTGCCTGTCCTCTACCTGGCTAAAAGCTGCGTAGAAGCTGTCTTTGTGTCTTCTGCACATCTGGAGATAGTGGTGATAAAGACAAACAGCCAAATGATGCTACCCAATGATTTCTTTTCCCTTGGGCGAAGCACTGAGGATACTAGATATACTTTGCAACACTGTTCCCAGGGGAGTTTATGTAAGCAGCGAGAAGAATTAATAGGCAGCCTTTCAGGGAGAGACAAATTTGTGAAAATACAGAAGCATTTGCTGGAACACCAAACACATGGGACCTAAAAGTGTCTGCGCAGGGTCCAGCCCATGTCCCTGCACCCAGCCATCACAGGCAGAGCTGGTGAGCTCTGTCCCACTGCAGAGGGACTACCTCTCTGGGGACCACTGGCAGGGCTATCACTCTCCAGAAAGGATCTGTGCAGCAGGGATCACAGGAATACTGATGTGGAAGGAAGCTGGCAGAGCGAGTCAGCAGG